GCAAAGTTTGTAATTCTTGTCTTCTCCGTCCAATACATCAGTGTTCAAAAACTAGGTACGAATTTAGCTAAGACTGGCCACCAAAATCTTCACTACTTCTGGAAAGTTCAGTTCATTAGGGACAAAATGCGCTATTTCATCACAGGGAGTGATCGTGAAATCTCACAAAATACGCCTTTGTACAAATACCATAATAAAAATTATTCAACCAAAACACAAAATCTCACAAACAACTTGGCTATTTATGCCAAAAAGAAGTCTAGAAGAAAGCGTTGGATAAGGGCAACAACTGCACATGAACACTTTGGTTGCACAGCCTAATAAAAGCAACTACGCAAGCACTAAATTTGATGATGTTGTCGGATCATATCAAGCACCAACGATGGCATGAATATTCAACTTTCTATACTGCAGTACACAACGTTTCAGGGATGCAGATTACCAACGAAAAATTGCGGCCACGATCATAGGGTACAAAGAGGGCTTATGGTTGCAAAACAGGTGGTGAGTAGCAAGCATTCACTGAGCTCTGGCTATGGACAAACCGGGTATGCCAGAAAGCAGTATTTGGCCAGATGTTATAGCCCGGGCAGGTCAAACTCCTTCTGTGTCCTTCCTCCATGCATATCTTCACATTCCCATCCGCAAGGCAGATCGCAAGTTTCTTCGCTTCATGTACAATGGTCATTCCGCTATATTCCAACGTTATCATTAACTTCAATCTTCAATTTACGTACTACAAATTTATCTCTGCCCTTCATGTATTTGTATTTTTATCGTATCTGTTACAGTGTAAAACGTTTTTCTACTTTAGATGATGCAACGAGCAACGTCCCGGAAGGCTTTGTACGGTATCGTACACAGTAGACCTAAAAATAACACACACACACATCTCGTACATGAATAAAACACTTCGTTTTGTTTGTGTGAATTTCACGTCGTATACAGAGTTAAGTGTATGTACATAGAATATTGCGCTCAAATTTTGTAGGCGATGTCCGAAACTCAAAATAGTGGCAAACACTCGAACATGTTGCGACGCGTAAAAGCCGCCCCAAAGTCATCGCACAATTGCAGTCACATCCGAGTCCGGCTTCATTCATTAAACCGGGTTCGGGTTAAACCATTCTTCACGGCAGTAAACTACTCATAACGAACACAATGAGAATTAACGTACGGTGACTGCACGTACTGGAGAGTCCCTGAGTGGCTAATCAAGTGGCTGGTACTTCATCAACACTCCTTCAATCACACTCAACCATTACACCAGTAGAGGGTG